AAGCATGCACGAAGAGCAAAGATAAATATTGCGGAGAGTAAATAAGTTTTTTTTTATCACGTCGTTATAAAACTTATTATGCTGTTTATTATAATAAAACTTAGATGTCGTTGAGCTCGAACTCTATATACTGTTAGCCCAAGCGTTCACATCAAAAAGATTTAACTATAGGTGTCTAACGGGCGGCCATCCACAAGCCATCGATACTCAGATGAACATCAAGGGCGGCTTTTAGCTGGCCGTTCGTATCCGGCTCTCAAAAGGCACTATTACAAGGCAAAAAAAAAATTTCTAATCGGGGTGTCCCTTGCCACAGCTCTAATAATGAAGTGACACCAACAAGACCGATGCACGGGAGGACGATGTATGGTTGTATCCACACGTGAATGTTTTTCGTTGCATCACAAGACGTATTATCCAGACCACTGGAGCGCACCGGTCGTCATCTCAGGGATCTCAGTTTCTCGCTTCCATTTCGAGGTCGTAAACGTCATCGTATCGTCGTATAGTTACGACCAGCACATCGTGACATCGCTCAGCGGGTGTCGGAGTTGTGTGAGTCGAGGTCAGTGTTGACACTGCATCATATCCAGTGTCATTAGAAGGGATGTACTGTAAGAATATATAAGATATATGGTTCCTCTAATATATCATACTGTCTGTATGAGAATATATAGAAGTACACTTATTCACAAAATTAGGGCAACTGCAGAGGAAAACTAGGATTATGTAGGCGGAGAACAATAGACGGTATGGCTTCGGAATCTGGAAATATGGAAATATTATTTAGCATCAGCAGGGAGGTTCAAAACGACACCAGTAGCCATGCAGCATCTGCAGTAAGAGGTATCAGCTGCAGCATGCAGCACCTGCAGCAGCAGCACCTGCTGCACACAGCACGCAGCACCTGCAGCAGCAGCAACAGCAGCACCTGCAGCAGCAGCAGCAGCAGCAGCAGCAGGAGGAAGCAGCAGCAGCAGCAGCAGCAGCAGCAGCAGCAGCAGGTGCACTCACGCATCACCAGGCAATTGATTGGCCAGGTCGGCGCGGTGGCCTCAAAGTCGCGGACAGGAAATCTTGTTTTGGTTTAAGCAGAACTTCGCGCCTCGTCTGCGCGCCGCACCTGCGCCGCAGGAATGAGCGTCGTGCGCTACTCGTGATTGATTGGCGCAGATCCTGTGCCTTGTTGTGGGCACATCCTGCGCCGTGATGTGTGCAGATCCTGCGCCTTGTTGTGGGCACATCCTGCGTGTGTGCAGATCCTGCGCCGTGATGTGTGCAGATCCTGCGCCGTGATGTGTGCAGATCCTGCGCCGTGATGTGTGCAGATCCTGCGCCTTGTTGAGTGACCCTCTAGCGCTGTGATGTGCCGTCCATATAGCTCTGTGATTTAGCGATTGCGGTGCGCTAAATGGAGAGGTCATCATAAAGGATCTAAATTTTACAACAATATGCAGGAAGGCCGCTTGTAAGACAGCAAAATGTGATATATTATCTCTAATTTGCTGCACGAAACAAATAGTGCCGTGAAATACTAATCGCGTGAAAGGCTTAATAATTTGCTGAATAAAATATAAATTATTTCGGGACGCCATTGAGAAGAATTAAGCTTTACTTTCATTCGTTAATTAAGCTTTAATTAAATTAAGCTTCACTGAAAAAACTCAGAGAAATACGTGAAACTTTGTCCTTTTAGCGACGAAATTTTTGCCGTGAAGTGAGTCATCCTGGTCCAGTTTGATCCGGCAAAAATACGGATCAGTCTGGGATACAGCGGTGATTATAATGACAAGGATATATATGATCAATGACGAGGACAATAGTGAGTGTAGGTTCACTTGAAACCGAAGACATAACGCATGCATAATTTAATCTTTTCTTCAAATCAGTTGAAGTTAATCTATTTTTGTATCTTATTTATTTAATATTTATGCTTATTTTTACATTTTTATTTATATGTTCAGTCATTATGATTAATTTGTTTAAAATTTAAAGTAAATTTATTATTTCCTTACGCAATCATAACTCCTCAGGCGGTCACGGCGGAAACGCTTCGAGATCTGCGTGTAAAAATTCATACAAGACAACACAGGAAATATCAGGCAATCTGTGTACTGTTTTGTATGGCTGCCGCAGGGCATACATGGCTTCACATTCAAGATCAAGTTTAGCGGCATGCCTTGAGTTACACGCGCTTGTTGGTGCGTTACTGGTGCGTCATATGCGCGTGACTGGCGCGTCATATGCGCGTGACAGGTGCGTCATATGCGCGTGACAGGCGCGTCATATGCGCGTGACAGGCGCGCCATATGCGCGTGACAGGCGCGTTATATGAGCGTGACAGGCGCGCCATATGCGCGTGACAGGCGCGTTATATGAGCGTGACAGGCGCGCCATATGCGCGTGACAGGCGCGTCATATGCGCGTGACAGGCGCGCCATATGCGCGTGACAGGCGCGTTATATGAGCGTGACAGGCGCGCCATATGCGCGTGACAGGCGCGTNATACAGCTGTTGCATCATACAGCTGTTGCATCATACAGCTGTTGCATCATACAGCTGTTGCATCATACAGCTGTTGCATCATACAGCTGTTGCATCATACAGCTGTTGCATCATACAGCTGTTGCATCATACAGCTGTTGCATCATACAGCTGCCGCATCATATAGCTGTTGCATCATACAGCTGTTGCATCATACAGCTGCTGCATCATACGCTAGGTAATGTTGTTAACGTTGATGCAAATAGTGACGGCAACTTGAACTTATTTCATTTAAGTTAATTTTTGAAAAGATATTTTTAAACAAACTCCAAATTCAGACGACGGTAAGTCAGTTATTCATTTAAATATTCATTCATTTAAAAGAAACTGATTATTAACAAGAGTTGTATAAGTCCGCATGCGCACGGCAGGTGTTGGGTGTGGCGGCCGGCGGTGGGAACCTCGCTGCCACTTCCGCACCTACGGAACAACTTGCCGGCGACACGCGAAGTCTGGGGGGGCTGTTGGTACCCCATCTGGGAGGGTGGCAGGGGGTAACAGTGGCTATTGGGGGAATGGGTGCGGGTTGGACGTTCAGTGTTGTGCAATAATGGTTAAATTTTAACGTTACTAGGTACTCTGTACAACACTAGGTCACTCTGTACAACGCTTTTAGTAAGTGTCGCTTCGCTTATCTGCGGCAAATGATGAACAACCTTAAATAAATTATTTCAATAACCTTTTACGCTTCGTTGGCCAAAATAAAGATCTCTATTTTGCTCCTAGCAATTGAAGGTCCGCTGATTAATGCTTATTCAATATAAGCAAGATGCATAAAAGCTTCGTGGTGATTACATTAATTTTAATATTTACGCATCATGTTGTAAGCTGTCCCTGCTGCGCACAAGTCTCCATCATACAGCTGCTGCATTATACAGCTGCTGTATCATACAGCTGTTGCATCATACAGCTGCTGCACCATACAGCTCGTGCATCATACAGCTGCTGCATCATACAGCTGCTGCATCATACAGCTGCAGCATCATACAG